CCAAAATATAGATCACTCTACCACAACTACAAGGATTTTTCTTCATGATCCTTCTGGCATTGGCAGATGCCGACTACAAGTTCTTATTGGCATTAGTGGTGGAGTATGGTTTAGCATCCGAATTGTCAAGTGTTCAACAAAATCTGAATTGAGGGAGTTTGGTGGAAAGGTGGATAATTAGGTTTTCCTGATCCAGAGCCGCTGCCAGGCCTGAACGAAAACCTGTCCTTCCTGGGAGACAATGCATTTCCATTGATGACCTTGATAATGAACCCTACTCAAGGATGGACCTTGGCCACGATGAGCGCATATTAAATTACAGACTGTCTCGTGCCAGGAGTGGTGGAGAATGCATCGGAATATTGGCCAACAAATTTCAATGTCTGCTTCATGCAACAGTTTATATGAAAACAGAAAGTTGTGGACACCCTAGTCCTTACCTGCGTCATGTTGCACAAGCTTTTGAGGATACGATAGCCTGGTTGTAACAGCCAATGCCGATCAAGAGGACCAAACCATGCCCTAGTATGGCTAGAGGAGAGTAAACTAGCGACGCAGGAGTACCTGTTGGCTGTAACGTAGACCATAACCTTGGAAAGTTTACAAAGAAACTACCTCAGGGGTTACTTCATGTCTGAAGTTGGGTTCGGTTCCATGGCAAGAAGAGATGATATAATAGGGACCAAGACCAATTAAGGGACTAAGGGAAATTATTTTTTGCAAAGGGATAATTCAAAATTATTTAATAATAAAGTCAATTATTTTAAAGAAAACTCTCAGAAATAAGTAGAAGCTGCGTAATAAAATGATTTCCTAAATATTTATAATATTCAATGAAATTGGCCGTGTAAGATCGCACGAGGCCGTGCGATACCGTGTATACCCGTACTTATACCGTGTATGCCATGTATGATTCGTACCTGAACCGTATTGGTCGTATGGCGATCGTATGAAACCGTGTATGCACTCGTGTGAATCGTACAGTGATCGTGTGATATTCGGGTGTTAATCGAGTGTTGGATGTAGGACTTTAGGACGGTCTCGAACGATTCCATACGATTTATTATACGATCTTGACACGGTTGGACTCACTCGTAGTGGACTTGAAATACGGTTGTATGTACGGGGTCTCATACGGTCTCACACGGCCTCGTACGGTCTTGTACGGTCGCTAATACGATCATTCACGGACATGACATCCGTGTCAGGTTTTTAAAAGTTTTTAAAAATCATACACGGCTTTACACGGATACACTCGAATGCCCCGAGTGTAACTCGGATAACGCTACGGTTGGTTCGGTTGTATGTACGGTTTACACGGGTGGCCAACCGTGTAAGCCGTATGTTCTGTGTGAGATGGGCTTAATCCATGCTCGGTTTTTTCCAGATCGGTTCGTTTCATGTATAGCTTCTGGCGGGTTCTGTAAGAAATAAATTTTACAAGTGTGTCTCCTGAACCGTTTTCTTTAGGTTTACCTACTCTATGGCACCGGTCAATATCATCAAGACTCTTAAGGGTGTTACAAATGTTCATCACGAGGGAAACTGGATTTTCTCCTGTACTTTCCTCAACACCAAAAATTCTAAGAAAATTACGTTTATTGTACTTGTCGTTTGCATCACGTTGAGTTTCGAGAGTTTGTACTCTCTTTTCCAGACTTACGATATCCTTTCTATGGGTAGCATTTTCAGTTTCTAATGAGTTTATTTTTGCTGTGAGACCCGATATAACACCATCAACTATTGTTTGAATTGATGAATGAAGTGTAGATTCCAAGGCATGTTTAATTCCAGATTCAAATTTTGTCTGCTAGAAGTTCTAGAGAATTATCATCGAACTTGGTTTTACTCATTGTTAATTCCGGTATTGAAGACAGTTCGAATGATTTATTATGTGATATGTCTTATACCTTTTGAGATTTTTCGTTGCTTTCAAGGTTTGTGTCAGGTGATGATAGATCTCTCTTACGATTTCTCTGCGCTGGCGTATTACTCATGTGTATGCGTTTATAAAGTTGAGCAGTATAGTTGAAAGTTCATTGAGCGTCACGTGACTAGTCGGCAATTTATCAAAATAGTCTATCAGTTGATGGTAAATTTACTACATAAACTTTTAATCTATATTGCAGTTTATTAAGTTTTCAGGGTTATCATATTCGATAAAATGTAAATCCTGTACCTTCTGCATATAATATATATTCCTCCCACAAAAATCACTATGTTTTACTAAAACATAACTTTTGATGTTAGCCACGTAAATATTGACTGATCGCCATTTTGACCGGAAGTTTCTTGCTTATTCAAGATGTATTTCATATTTGGTAGGAATATAACTTGCATGGTATTCTTCCTTTTGATGGAGTAAGGGGTCAGTTGGTTTAAGGTCACCAGTGCTAAACATAGATTTTACACTTTTGCCCATACATCCTTTATTTAAATGACAGATGTATTTCATATGGTAGGAAATATACCTTGCATGAAATTGAATATTTTTCAACTTCACAAGTCAGAAGCAATGTCTTGGCAACTAATGTTTTTTCACAATTACAAAATGCCATGACTTTGTCAAGCTATAAACAACTTGTGTTTTTACAATTTTTTGGCATTTTTTCTATCCATAACTGAGTGAATGGGTAAATATTTTTTGAAATATTGCTTCTGACAAGAATCTGAGCCGGGGACATTTGTGTTTAACAAACACGTTCTTGTTCTTACTTTCTTTCATTTGGCATTATGTTAAATGGATAAATACCGGCTTCTGCAAACAATTTTGAAATCAGTGTTGACTTTTCAAAAGTTTCAACAAGTACAATGTAGAACATTGGTCATTAGTGCACAGCAAGTTTTTGCGGACCCAATCTAAATTTAACGTTCTTCCATGGATTATGATCGCCACGGTTTAGTTCGACTATTTTAATGTTCTAGGACTTTTTGTGTTATTTTAACAATCTTGTGATAATTATTTTAATGCAATTTCTTAATTTCATTTATTTATTTATTGATCATTTTATTTATTGAAGTTTGACGATGGCAAACTCAGAAGTGGACTCGTCCTATCCGGACTTTAGTAATCTCCCGGATGTAGTTTGGGTCCGCATAATGCAATCGCTGTCGCTTAGCGAACGGGCAAAAGTAGCAAGAACATGTCGTCTGCTGAATGAATTATTCAATCACCCCTCGTTATGGTACTCACAGAAACTTTATTTCATGGGCGACTTTCATAAATCGTCCCGGGAGAAAAAAATCATATTTTGTACGCCATTTTATGCGGAGTTAATGAAAAGATTTGGGAAATATTTTCAAAATCTCACAATCAAAATTGATGGTGATTTCCGGAGCATTCCTGCTGATGTCCAGGACATTTTAGAAGAGGTCGCCAACCGCTGCCGACTAGAAACCCTCACATTAGAAGCCGGACCTATCACGTCCTCGTTTCATGCAACATACTGTTCCCCGCCAAATTACTCCGCTGTCAAAGTTCTTGCTTATTTTGTTCAAAAGGCTTTTAGAATGAAATACTTACACATAAAGTCCTGGCCAATGTACAACCAAATTGACACTGATGGGGTTTTAAAAATTTTCAAAGTTCCTTTGTTCTCAAAAAGAGAAATTTGCCCAAAAACTCTCCCCGGGCTTTTTATGGGTGTTCTGGGTCGAAAAGGTTTAGGAGTGGGTAGAACCCGGGAAAAACCCACTTTTTAAACCCGGGGGCCCGAAATGAAATCTTTAAAAATTGTTAAAAAGGATTTTAAATTTTCACAAACTTTTGGGCTACGAAGCCCATGATAAACAGGGCGAGCTTTTTTCAGATGTTAGCATCAAAACCCATAAATTAAAACTTTTAAAATGTCAAAATTTCGTTTTACCCTAACCCCAAATGGAGCCCCTTTTTGCCAAACCCCAAATATTCAACCCAGCACATGGCAGGCACTTAGTAGAATAAATCCAGATTTTAGGGTTGAGTGTACCATATTTCTTGACACTCCAAATATGGAACTGTCAAACTTGCTAACACCTAATATTCCGTTATCCGCTATTGTGTATACAAAATACTCCAAGATTGACCCGTTAACGTTAACCAAGGTGTACACTCAGTATAAAGAAACTATGACAAAGTTCCAAAGTTACTGCGACTCGTGCTTCATTGATAAAGGATTACTGATAATGGCTCAGACGTGTATTAATCTCAGTGAGATCATTTACCATGGAGAAATCAATAGCCTCTTCGTTGTTGCTATCGCAAAGGCTAGAGGAAACTGTCTAAAACGGTTCGAAGTGAGAGAATGGAAGATAAAAGTAACCAAGGAATTCGATGACGTTGATGAAGATGATGTTATAGCGAGATGGCGTGATGGTCCACTTGTTCTTAGAAATCCTACAAAATTTCAAATGTCAGAGAAGCAGAAACAGGAAGTGTTGCAGACGATGATTGCGAAAGTAAGCGAAGCACTGGGAACGCCGTGGAAACCACTCAAATGGATGAAAGCACTGTGATTTATCAGCTTTAAATTCGTAGAATTCTTAATACATCTTAATTTTTCTGTAATAATATATCCAAACAAACGCAAAATTTGCTCTTTTGAAACCTTGTAATTTTGTAAAATATTAGGCTTATTTCTGACGCCAAGTTTCTATTGCGATACTTTTTGCACTTAAAGTAGTGCATTTTAATCAAAAGATATTACAAAAATCAAAATTAGTCTGTGTGTTTTAAACAAAGTTTGCGCAATGTTCAAATCAACAGTTTGAATAGTACATGTAGTATGCTAAAAGTTTTTCATGTTCGGAGCCTTCGTGGTCGCTGACAATTCCTTTCATCGTTGCATATGTGTTTGAATTTCTCTAGGAAATTTGGAAACTTTGAAACAACTATCCGTTTAGCGTAAGGAATATCAGGACCCGTGTACATGTCTTAACAGATGCAGCTAATGTACTTCCTACGCCATTAAATGTTGAAAGTTGTCAGGTAGCATTAACACATGTGAAATGGCCGATGTTTTCTTTGTACTGAGTCACCTTATTTTATTTCATGTAAAATTGTATGTTTTGTAGGCACATATATGTGTTTATTAATTTGCCTTTAAAATTTGCTTTTATATTAATATTAACTTTATTTATGAATATGTGGCAACAATATATTATATCTCTGTAGCATATGTGCATCTATGATAGAAACATTTTAGCCATCTTTTATATGAATACATATCATTATTTAAATTTTTAATCTCTTTATATTAATATTTTTTACATTTTACAAAGTTTTGTATAAAAAGATATTTTAAATTGTTTCCAGCAATCTCATATTAAACTCTAGTAGACTTTTAAAATCCTGTTATTTTTTGTCCAAATCCCCTGCTTTTTAAAGACAAATCCCCCTACCTCGGTGGCTGTAAATATGGCATATGGATCTATACTGTTGGCTGACTTAAAGTTCATTTTTAATATTCGTTTTGTAAGTAATACCCCTAAAATATTGATAATTGACGGGTCCATAAAAAGACGCTGGATTAGTCCGTTCAATCAATTGTTAAAAATGCATTCAAAGACGAAAACAGTTATTTTATTTTATTCGGTTTTACGTGCCCTATATGGTAATGTCAGTAAAAATATGAAAAGTTGTTTTATTTTCTTATGCTGTATAATGATCATTTTGAAAAAATGAAATGCATGACAACATATATTTAATATTGATTTCTTCATGCGATAAAATTATGACGAGAAAATACAGTGATTTTATTGTGTCGCCTCTACGGAGTAGTGGCGACATATAGGGATCACTTCTCCGTCGTCTGTCTGTCTGTCTGTCCGTCTGTCCGTCACAAAACATGTCCGGACTACTCCTCATAAACTACTGGTGCAATTTCATCCAAACTTTACAGGAATGATCAGTACCAAGTCTAGTTGTGCATATTGTCAGCATTTTTCGGTTCAATGATTTTTGGCAGAGTTAAGGCCCTTTAATATTTTTTAATTTTAAAGTTTGTCCGGACTACTTCTCTTATACCACTAAAGCAATTTCAATGAAACTTTACAGGATTGATCTGTAGCTCAAGTCCTTGCGCATATTGCAAGGGTTTTCCGGTTGAATGATTTTTGGCCGAGTTATGGCCCTTTGATAAAAAAGGTGTTTTTTCTGTGTGTTGCCAGATACACAAAATCTTGTCCGGACTACTCCTCATAAACTACTGGTGCAATTTCATGTAAACTTTACAGGAATGATCAGTATCAAGGGTAGTTGTGCATATTATAAGCAATTTTCGGTTCAATGATTTCTGTCAGAGTTAAGGCCCTTTAATAATTTTTATTTTTAAAGTTTGTCCGGACTACTTCTCTTATACCACTTAAGCAATTTCAATGAAACTTTACAGGATTGATCTGTAGCTCAAGTCCTTGAGCATATTGCACGGGTTTTCCGGTTGAATGATTTTTGGCCGAGATATGCCCCTTTGATAAAAAGGTGTTTTTTCTGTGTGTTGCCAGATAGGCAAAAGCTTGTCCGGACTACTCCTCATAAACTACTGGTGCAATTTTATCCAAACTTTACAGGAATGATCAGTACCAAGTCTAGTTCTGCACTGTCCGTCTGTCTGTCCGTCTGTCACAAACTTTGTCCCAACATGAAATTGGCCATCATGAGGCGACACATGTGATTACTGATCGCTCTTGTTATTTTGATTGGTCTGTTCTTCAATATGTGTTATTTTCTTATTATATACATGTATAATGTGGTATTTTGTTGATAAAATTCATTGTTTAAAATTTTATACTCAATAGTTTGCCGAGACTTTTTTGTTTTACGTTTTTCAATTATGTAAGATGCAAATGTAGAGTCAAAAACCATGGGAGAAGTTTATTTATTTTTTTTATTTTTTTGGTCGTTCAATTTATTTGCTGTGTTCATTTTAATTTTAAAACTATATTGTTTACTCAGGGATATTATTTTTTTTTCAAATATAATAAATGAAATTAAAATGGTCAGCAAATGATAAAAACATGTGCCAATATATTTAATGTCTGTAATGATACAGCTGGAAACAACCATATAACCTTCAAAGCTGCATGCCTCTAGATGAGCTAGAACATTTCAAGAAAAATCAAACATTAGAAAAATTTACTAAGATTTTAAGAAAATGTAATTTACATGTTATGTGTGATTAAAAACTGATTCCAAAGTTTTTATCACCATATTTCCAATGCCAGACTAATGCAGTAAAGACTCCTTTTTGCATAATTTAACCTCTTCTTGGTGATTTGCATGGATTTAAGTGCCAATTTCAGTGTGGAAATTACTTTCTTTGTCTATTTTACAATATTTTAGTTTTAAGCACATTTTCATGAAAATTAAGGAATCTGTTTAAAGTGTTGGTGCAACTTAAAATCAAACAAACAAACATTTTAAACGAGTCGATATTGAATTTACTAATCATATTTTGTAAGCTTATAGTAGATTTAAAAAAAAAAAACACGCACTATTATATTTGTTGAACATTCTAATTTAATAAGTAAACTGTGTCATGTTAAAGGTTAACGCTAAAATGTTGTAGATGATGTTGTGTATTAAAACATTCATGTATGTTATGAATCAAAACTTTCCGTCCTTTAACTTTGATATCATGTAGAAATTGTATATACAAATGTATGTTATGTGTAAATTTTGTGTACATATAATATTTATACCATATTTTACCCCCGCACATCGAAGTTGTAAGGGGGTATACTGGAATCAGCTTGTCCGTCCGGACGTCTCCTCGTCCGGCCGTCCGTCGGTTTTTTCTTGTCAGCCCAATAACTTAAGATTTCTTTGACCCAAAGTCTTCATATTTGACATGGAGGTTAGTCATGCCAAGAACATGACCCCTATTGATTTTGAAATCAGTGGGTCAAATGTTAAGGTCACATGGGCCTTGAAAAAAGAGCTTGTCCACCCAATTAACTTAAGATTCCTTCGACTCATAGTCTAAAAATTTGGCATGCAGGTTATTCATGACAAGTAGATGACCCCTATTGATTTTGGGTTTCTTGGTCAAATTTCAAGGTCACCGGGGCCTTGACTTAAAAAAGCTTGTCCGCCCAATAACTTAAGAATCTTTTGACTCACAGTCTTGATATTTGGCATGGAGTTTAGTTATGAATAGAAGATGACACATGTGGATTTTGAGGTCATTGGGTCAAAGGTCAAGGTCACAGGGGCCTTGGCTTAAAAAAGCTTTTCCGCCCAATAACTTATGATTCCTTTGACCCAAAGTCTTCATATTTGGCATGGAGGTTAGTCATGATTAGTAGATGACCCCTATTGATTTTGAGGTTTCTGGATCAAAGGTCAAGGTCACAGGAGCCTTGACTTAAAAAGCTTGTCCACCTAATAAATTATGATTCCTTTGACCCACAGTCTTCATATTTGGCATAGAGGTTAGTCATGATTAGTAGATGACCCCTTTTGATTTTGAGGTCAACTGGGTCAAAGGTCAAGGTTACAGGGACTTTGATTTCAAAAGTTTGTCCGACCATTCACTTAAGAAATCTTTGACCCACAGTCTTCATATTTGGTATTGAGGTTGTTTATAGTTGTAAAGGGTGTATACTGGAATCAGCTTTTCCGTCCGGCCGTCCGTCGGTTTTTCCTTGTCCGCCCAATAACTTAAGATTCCTCTGACCCACCGTCTTCATATTTCGGTTTTAGATTGGTCATGATTCGAAGATGATCCCTATTGAATTTGAGGTCACAGAGTCAAAAGTCAAAGTCACAGGGGTGTTGACTTAGAAAAGTTTGTCCGCCCAATAACTTAAGATTCCTTTGACACATAGTCTTCATATTTGATATTTAGATTGGTCATGATTAGTAGATGATCCCTATTGATTTTGAGGACACAGGGTCAAAGGTCAAGGTCACAGGGGTCTTGACTTAAGAAAGTTTGTCTGCCCAATAACTTAAGATTCCTTTGACATGGATATTTGGCATGGAGGTTAGTAATGATAATTAGATGATCCCTTTTGATTTTGGTTGTTTATGACTAGTAGATGACCTTTATTGATTTTTTAGGTTACTGTGTCAAAGGTCAATGTCACAGGGATAATTCTTTAATATGCTTGTCTGCTAAGATGCTTAAGAATGTCTATCCACAGTGTATTGATTTTGACATTTTAACATTTGAAGCATGCAGAATACTAAACTTAGAAATTAGAATAACGTAGCAATGCACTGGCTTAGTAACCTCAGATTTGGCAGGGAGGTTGTCCTTGAGCTCTAAATGGCCACTATTGATTCTGACAAAGTGGTATGTATTGTGATGTCATGTTAAAATCATACTACAGTTTTGATTTTGTAAAAAGAAAGCTTAGAAAAGAAGATTAATTATGTAATAGGTGATTAGAAAATGTATAAGAAAAAACTGATTTGATGAAATTCTTGGCTGAAAGGGGAGATAATTCTTTTCAAATAGATGCCAGAGTTATAAACCTTGCCATATGTGAAATTTTTCTTTCATGTAAAGAAATCCCAGCATGTTTCCATAATTTTACTTATTTTAATATTTGTTTTTACAAATGTTTGCACTTTCATACTTTTAATATGCCTAGGGGTGATTATGTTACTGTACTTTTGTTTGATAATAATTATTGTACATATACTTACAATTGCAAAAAAAATTTTACTATAGACAATGTTTTAGTTTATTATTATGTAACATATCCAACAAGTGTATTGTTTAGAAATGTATGTCTTATTTTTAAACCAAGTAAACTAGTTACAAGTGATCAGAAAATATTGGCCTTAATAAAATTCGCCATCCCCTTAGGATCCATTTTGCACATTATGCCTCAGAAATCCATGTTTTTTTAATTCTTCTGGAGATTTCAAATAATATTTCTAATAATGGTATTTGAGAAATAAAAAATTGTAGTACATTTGTATTTCTGAGAGGCTTAAAAGGCCTTTAAATCAAATTGTCAATATTTTTGAAATAACTTTTTTTGGTAGTATGACTATTTGATAACTTTTCTTAATATGCTTTTTTTTCAATCCAGTTATAAAAGATGGTTATGCATGCCTACCTTTTTTGAACTGACTGTTACTTTATTTTTATTAAGGGTTTTGTGTATTTCTGGTTGCTTTCTGGTATATTTCAGGTGGTTTTCGGTAATTTTTGTAACCAGTTAATATTTTATCTGGATCAGGCATAATTGTGACTCATTCTAGAATATAACATTGAAAAGGTGTAAGGGGCTTTAACAGCTCATATAAGATTAGAATAGATAGGTCACTTCATAATTGACATGTTTAGGCCAAGCTTTTCAATAAAAAATGAATATATTTGCTAGATTATCATGATGAAGCATATGAATTTTGATTTTTTTTTGTAATAATTGAAGACTTAAAAGGGTTTGAGATTTTGTAAAACAAACTTTGACTTCTATGATAATTTAGAATAATAGCAAGTTTGACATAGCACATAGGGAAATTTGCATATTCGATCAGACTATATCATTTGGGCTTTATTATTTTTGGAGTTCAAAATGGTCATATGATGTGGCGGACCGTACTAAGGTGGACCGTAGATTAAGACAATGCAAAGTGTGTTTTGGGACGGGGCAGACCATGACTCAAGACAAGACGGCACATGATTTTTTATTATAAATTTTATCAGTGTAAAAATACATTAATATAAAAATCTTACAAAATGAGTCACAGTGCCAAATAGAAAGCAGGAAAAGATAATTACTCAAAAAATTGACAGAAATTTAGATGACAGTTTTTACAGTGATGGGTGTGGTTTTTATTTCTTTACTTAATTATTTTATTTTTCTGTCTTTTAATCATACTATAGTTCAATAGACCTTTAACGTCACTTTGAAACTTGGATACTTTTGATGTTGTAATAAATATTTCAGCTCTGTGAATATATATTATTTTGTTGTTCAATTACAAAATGTAAACTTGTTAGTTAATTCTTATATATAGTTTGTTCAGGGGTAATCCATTTTTTTCAAAGCTCAAACATTGATTGTGCAGCTAATGTATAAAGATAATGTATATGTGTTAAAGTTGTAATTATAGACTCTCGTAGCCTTCATCTCGTTTACTCTATTTGAGTCGCGTCATGACAAAACCAACATTATGGGTTTGCGACCAGCATGGATCCAGACCAGCCTGCGCATCCGCGCAGTCTGGTCAGGATCCATGTTGTTCGCTTACCAACCCTATTACAAGTAGAGAAACTGATAGCGAACAGCATGGATCCTGATCAGACTGCGCGGATGCGCAGGCTGGTCTGGATCCATGCTGGTCGCAAACCCATTATGTTGGTTTTGTCGTGACACGGCTCATTTGTTAATTAAACTGTGTTACTTTGTTTGTTATCTAAATAAAATTTAGTCTTTTTGTTGTTGTTGTAGTTATTGTTGTATTTCTGCAACATTATGTTTGATAGCCACTGTTCACACCTTTCCAGAACACAGGCATTATTCTTCATCTATACTAAGTTCTACTTTCCAAGCGTGTTCAAATATTGGATCTCGCCACGCCCCACAGTTAAACATGACTAAAGGCTTACGGACTATTGTGTATTTCTTTGGCTAGGTGGTTAATTTGATGAACAAGTATTTGGACAGACAGAACGAACTATTTGACACGAGAAACATAAAAAGATATGTGCAGATAGGTCCTCATACCAATTCTCAAAAACATGTAACTGTGAATACCACAGCTCCCCTGCTGAACATAATGAGGCACACTATGCGGTTCTTCCACCTTGCTGACATCGCCAGCACCTCTACTAACCCCCATTCTGCTGAATAACATCGTTTAAAATATAATAGATATCATTCAATTATCACAGATCAATAAAAAAATATCGAGCTTACTGGTTATCCGTAAAACCATTCTACATATTTTAACAAGGTATATCCAACAACTGTACGTTCATGTATCTGCATGTTGCCCAGTATGAAAATATGTACTTGCCTAGCTTCAATATTCATAACTACATCATTTCTTACTAGCAATTAAAAAATTTTGTAAAATGATATGGAATAGATTAGAAGGAAATAAAACTATCATTAAAAATATCTTGAATTTTCATGTCGAACTGTCCGAGAATGTCCCTAATGAAAGTTGTTATAAAAATGCCAAGCCTGAACACCAGTTTGGCCTTGATAAATGCATAATTCCGAGTTACCATCAGCGCCGTAGCCACAACGTGGCAAAATTTGAGAAGTTAATAAATTAGGTAGAAAAATCAGTCTTAAAAATAAAAATAACGAAAATAAAGGCTCCAATATAAGTTAAAGCAGAATGAAACAGCTAAGTTAAAGGCTTATTGTTTCAAAGTGGAGACCGGCATTTAAACGAATTGATCACCGCATCTTAGGCTTACCACACACAGGTGCTGCACGTTGGCACGTGCACCGCATAAAAGCATAGTCCGTCGAATTACGCCTATTCCTGTAAACAATCAAAATGATTGACCTGATTACTTATCCCGCGAGGATGATCTTCATCATCTATGAAACAGCATACCAAACAGAGCTCATAAGATGGAAAAAAATATATAGAAATGTTAAAAATCCAATGTCTGTCTAACAGGAAGGCGCTGAAATATGTGATAAAAATGTATTATCCAAACATTCACACAATGTTTCGGTTAATACTAAGTTTACCCGTTGTGTTATGTTCGTGTGAAAGAAACTTCAGTGTTCCGTAGACTGAAAATTTGGATTCGATCATCTATGAAGGATGCTAGATTAAATCATCGTCGGATACCCACGATTGATAAACATGTCACATAACAACTGATCAATGTTAATGGTTCGGCCATAGGTATCCGACGATGGATTAAATGGTCTCGCGTTGATACATGTTCAAAAAAAATAGGAATTGCCTACAATGAGAATATAAAATTATGGGATTCTCCTGGAATCAGAAGAATTTCCTTGGCCTTTTCATGAAACTTTGAATCTGAGCTAATAGACAAATTAAAAAAAATGAGCCGCGTCACGACAAAACCAACATTATGGGTTTGCGACCAGCATGGATCCAGACCAGCCTGCGCATTTGGCAGTCTGATCAGGATCCACGCTGTTCGCTATCAGTTTCTCTTCTTGTAATAGAGTTGGTAAGCGAACAGCAAACGCACTATGGTGCAAACGCACTATGTTGGTTTTGTCATGACGCGGCTCAAATATATTTCAAATCTTGTAAAGAACATTAACTTTTCTTGTTTATTTTCCAAAATATATTAATGTAAAATTTACTGAAATGGTATTGAAAGTTTGGCATAGAGTGCTCAAAAATGCACCAGAGACAATCTAGATAAATACGGAATATAATGTTGTAGTAGCTTTCTGACGCTTTGTATTTTGCTACGAGCAGCGTTGGAAAATTGATATCTCGCGAGACCGAAGGTCGAGTGAGATATCAATTTTCCAATGTTGCGAGTAGCAAAATACAAGGTCACAGAAAGCTACTACAACATAATTTCCTTTTATTATAAACCTAATTGTTTTAAGTAAAAAGGAGTTTCAATATACTTCACTCCTATTAGTAATGACAGGAAATGAAATGTCAAGAAATTAATTCATGAGTGGCCGATGAATACGTATTTTTTGCAAAAAAGGCCACGCCTTTAATAGTTTTGGTTCCCGTGTTATACACAGCTAAGATCGGAAACAACGTTAAAAATAGGCCGGCATTCCATATATGGTACCGTATTTGTCACTAACATAATACGGAATTTTATATCCGGTTCAGCGTCTTCGCGCTTCAAGATTTGCGTGTATTTTAGGGAGAAAATTTATAGGTAGACTATATAATAAAAAGAAATTCCGGGGGAACATGCCCCCCTGGACCCCCCTAATTTGCCTCGGTCAAAACAGGTCGACTGGCTACGCCATTGACAATGGTTTCAGGTGTTAAAAAATTAATAAATTTAACTTGAGAAAAAAATCATACATGTTAAAAAATCCGTAAAATTTTAATTTTGTCACATGTGATGTCATAGACCTATATTTAAATAAAATGAGAAAAATAAACTGCACAGACACAAATAAAACACAACTGATTGATTCTATATTTTCGCAACATTCGATCATTGAATTATTTACACCGACTTCTAATTAATAGAGATGTTTTTTACTAACCAGTCTTCCAAATATTAATATAATAAGTTTACCATAGGTTACTTGTTTTTGCTGTAACTGCAAAATGACTCTTCTTAGCTTCCGTACAATTTTCTTGGGTGTATTCCCGTTTTAAATATAGATATAAATTATAGTAGCTAAAAATAGAAATTATCGTCATGAAGTAAACAGTGTCAACCAGTGTTTATATTGCCTTTAAATAAAATCAAAGGTACGCATTCTTATATTTAAGTTGTTATATATATTAAAATATATAAATTATACAGGCAGTCTAGGCGTTATAATTTATGGCTGAAGGTCACAAATATCATAAAATGGATTTATGTTACATTCATTCAAGTAAGAATTTCTTTAAATATCATATAAACAGTAATTATCTATTAAACATTCACTTTGTGCTTTTTGAGCATCACGGCTTTAAAGTCACTTTATGCATACTAATTAATTACAAAGATCTTAATTAAATAAAATGTTATGATTCATATTTGTGTGTAACTCGAGGTAGGCAACTCCTACTTAGATCAATAATTGAGTACTGGCAAGAGTACTCTCCCTTACTCTAATGATTTTTATGATTGAGATTGGAGCACCACACTAAATACCGTATTCCGGTATATACCGGACACGGCGCTTGAATCATAAAATGCTAAAATCTTGCCTTTTTACCCAACGAAATGAACTGAAATAGGTCTAATTTATCTTTTCACACTGATTTATGTATGATAATGAATGAAAAACGTAAAAAAAAACAAGAATAAAGATCAACAAGACAAAGGCAACGTTCACAGGACGCGGCTCCCGACACACTCAAAAAAAGCTAGAGCGGACATAAGGGTGAAAGGAGTGGGACATGTAATGTGAAATGATATCAACTTAAATCAAAGCACAGAAGGTGCTGAATTTGTTTGGGTCTCAGAATGTAAGAAAGGTGCAGGTTGTGAGATTATATGTATAGTGCCACCAATGCTTTCCAGCGTTTTAATTGTAGTAAATTGGCTATAAGACTAATTGCAACACTGATATTCAATCCAATGTTTATTTGACTTTAACAATTTGAAAAAAAATGAGTTACCTTTACTGGGATTTGAACTCCAGACCTCTCGCTTCCTAAGCGAGCCCGAAAACCCTTCAGCCACGGTGAATTTATATGTGAACGGGCTGAAGAAAACCATATTATTCCAAATTAGGGCTTGTAACGACTTTAACTGTTGTTTAACACAGATGTAAATAATCCTGGAGCTTACTATAAGCATTTATATTTATAAAAAATCAAAGTGCTGCGAGTTCTGTGGTATTTTCTGATCTTTGCAATCTAAATCGTACTGTATATCTGTATGCTTTTTCCTTTTTAGGTTTATTTTTATGTATTATAATTCATTTTGCAAGGCACCAGAGTTTGATACATACGGAATTCTGCATAACTAGAGTTGCATCAAAAAATAATTTATGTTCATTTTTTACGACAGTCACACTTTATCCTTGCATATCATGGCTACTTCCTTAACAAAATCACTTAAAAAAGAATTTATCAGAAAAAAAATTTTCCTCGACTGGGTTTCGAACTCGAGACCTCTCACTCCCTAATCGAGCGCGTTACCACTGTACCACGGAGAAGTTATACATAGAATGTCTGAATAATATCAAGTCATTCTAAATTAAGAACTTCCATTGCATTTCGGGTTTGTAATCCTTATTAATTTCGAGGTATTTTGTTCAGGGTAATCCTGTTGTTTAAAATTGAAGTAAATATTTTAGCGAAAATCCTCTCGCCCAACAGTCCGACATGTAGAATCTATATAATTCCACTACTCGGTTTGTGTAGTATTCGGTTATAAATAGTATTTTTCATTGATAAAATCAATATTCATCCGCGTAATTTGTGATTGTGCATTTATTGACAATTCTATAAGCCAACGCTATTGTTTAACTTTAAATGCGTTGTAATTTGTTGGATACTTGTAACAAAAATAAAATATTTCTTTCTTTTAAATCGCTAGTTTTAAGCTGTTTTGAGAACTACTTGTTGTTAGGTTTGTTGTAAACTTCTGTGTCAGAGATTGAATGTCCGCTTTGTATTTAGTTATTTTCGATCAGAAAATACAATAAAACAATATTAGAAACCTTCGACCATTCGGGAATTACTTTGCTTGAAAATTGATGCGCCTGTCTTTGACCATCTTTACGCAGTGATCCCCCTGAATTTTTTTCGGCTTTAGTGTACATACAAAAGGGAAGTAACCGCTTCAAAAAAGTGGACTACTTTCGGCATTTGCAATTAAGAACATTATACTCTGAAATTTCGCTACCATTATTTGTTTGGTCTGACGACCCAAACAAATAAAAACGATATTTGTCTATTTTGTGATCATAATTTCTGCAAGCGTCTAGAGGTACTGCTCCAATCCTGTATTGAGTTAATTAAATCTGATTTTTATACGTAAAACAATTCAAATGGTACAAGGTTACTTTGCTTTAATTAAAGGTCTCACACTTCGGATGAGTAAATAAGATCTTCAGAAATATCTAAATTAAGTTTGAGAAAAAAAGTTGAATATGGCCGAAAATAGAATTATTTTTATCACCAATCATTGTTCTACTCCATGAAGAATTTCAATTTCAATTATTTGTAATTATTGTGAATTATAGTTAACTTGCATTAGGCTATAATTCTTTCTTTCTTTCTTTCTTTCTTTCTTTCTTTCTTTCTTTCTTTCTTTCTTTCTTTCTTTCGTTCTTTTTTCTTTTTCTTTTTTCTTTCTTTCTTTTTCTTTCTTTCTTTCTTTCTTTCTTTCTTTCTTGCATTCTGCATCGTGTTGCACGGATAAATCCCGGCTTCTGCAAACAATTTTGAAATCAGTGTTTATTTTTCCAAAGTTTCAACAAAGTAAAATATTAGCAGCAAGTTTGTGCGGACCCAATCTAAATTTAACGTTCTTGGTTTATGATCGCCACGGTTATACGGACTATTTTTATATTATAGGGCTTTTTTGTTGTTGTTTTTTTAACAATCTTGTGATTACCATTTTAATGCTATTTCTTATATTAATTTATTTATTGCAGTTTGACCATGGCAAACTCAGAAGTGGACTCGTCCTGTCCGGACTTTAGTAATCTCCCGGATGTTGCTTGGGTCCGCATAATGCAATCCATGTCACTTAGCGAACGGGCAAAAGTAGCAAGAACCTGTCGTCTGCTGAATGAAGTATTCAATCACCCCTCGTTATGGTACTCACAGAAACTTAATTTCATGGGCGAAGTTCATAACTGGTCTCGGAAGAAACAAAACATATTTTGTACGCCATTTTATGTTGAGTTAATAAAAAGATTTGGGAAATATTTTCAAAATCTCACAATCAAAATTGATGGTCATTTCCGGAGCATTCCTGCTGATCTCCAGGACATTTTAGAAGAGGTCGCCAACCGCTGTCGACTAGAAACCCTCACAATAGAAGCCGGAACTATCACGTCTGCGTTTCATGAAAGATATGGTTTCCCGCCAAATTACTCCGCTGTCAAAGTTCTTGCTAATTTTGTTCAAAAGGCTTTTAGAATGAAATACTTACACATAAAGTCCTGGCCAATGTACAACCAAATTGACACTGATGATTGTAACATATTCAAAGTTCTTGTTCTCAACGAGAAATTGCGAGAAACTCTCGAGACTTTGATGCTGTTCTGGGTCGAGGGCCAGGAGTGGTCAGAACGGGAACCCATTCTTTTCAACGGGGACCCGACTGAAATTTTAAAAGTTGTAGAAGGATTTAAGTATCTCACAACACTTGGTATACGAACGCCCATGATATCAGACGAGCTTCTACAGATGTTGGCATCAATCGATAGGTCAAAACTTCAACTGCTCAAAATTTTCGTGCATTATCTAGACCCGCAAAGGCAGCCGCTATTTGCCATCCCAACTATTCAACCTAGCACATGGCAGGCACTTAGTAGAAGAAATCCGGATTTTAGGGTTGAGTGTACCATATTTCTTAACACTCCAAATATGGAACTGTCAAACTTGCTAACACCTAATATTCCGTTATCCGCTCTTGTGTATACAAAATACTCCAAGATTGACCCGTTAACGTTAACCAAGGTGTACACTCAGTATAAAGAAACTATGACAAAATTTCATAGTTACTGTGACTCATACTTCATTGATAATGAATTACAGGAAATGGCTCAGAAGTGTATTAATCTTAGTGAGATTATTTACCATGGGGAAATCCATAGCAATACCGTTGTTGCTATCGCAAAGGCTAGAGGAAAATTTCTAACGCGGTTCGAAGTGAGAGAAGAGAAAATAAAAGTGCCCACAGAATTCGATGACGTTGATGAAGACGATGTTTTAGCGAGAGGACGTGATGGTCAACTTGTTCTTGTAAATCTTATGAAATTTCACATGCCAGAGGAGCAGAAACAGGAAGTGTTGCAGACGATGATTGCGGAAGTAAGCGAAGCACTGGGAACGCCGTGGAAACCGCTCAAATGAGGATGAAGACACTGTGATTAATCAGCTTGACATTCGTACAATTTATTAATATATCTATATCTTTCTGTGATAATATATTTATCCAAACAAATCTTTTGAAACCTTGTGATTTCGAAAAAAAAATACGCTTATTACAGTCTGGGTTACTGAAACCGAGTTTCTGAATACGATACTTTTTACACTTTGACCAGTGCATTTTAATCAAAAGATATTTCAAAAATCAAAATGAGTCAGTGTGTTTTAGACAAAGTTTGCGCAATGTTCAAATCAATAGTTTGAATACTATGCTAAAAAATTTCATGTTTGGAGCCTTCTTTGTCGCTGACAATTCCTTTCATCGTTGCATCTGTATTTGAATTTCTCTAGGAAATTTGGAAACTTTGAAACAACTATCCGTTTAGCGTAAGGAATATCAGGACCCGTGTACATGTCTTAACAGATGCAGCTAATGTACTTCCTACGCCATTAAATGTTGAAAGTTGTCAGGTAGCATTTACCCATGTTTTTGTTTTGTTTGTTTGTTTTATTTTATGCCTTTTTCCAACAGTATTTCAGTCATGTCGGCGGATAGTTTCCTAATCATCGTTCCTGGAGAGTTACACCAGTACTAGACTACCTTCCTCCGCGCTAAACTACCAAAGAATCTCCCGGGATTTACACATGTGAAAGTGTAAAAGTCAACAGAATAATCGACTATAAATATTGTCAAAAATACATGTACTTCATGTCATGCTCCTTTCTTTTCACATTTTACATTTTTGTTGTTCATATACATATTTATTTAAGCGCATACACATATTTATCTCTGGGCGGCCAATATATTCATTCAAAACATGTAGACCTAAGAAAAGTCGGTATTCAGTGTTAGCAGCTGTAAAATACATTTGTATATACATTTTCATGACAATTTGTACTGTATTGCAAAAACTTTAAAAATGTCATTGTTTCATGTTACCACTGTAACCGTATTAAGACATATACCTGGAATTCTGTCTACCTCAACCCTTTCGTCTTTCTCTTTACATATTTACCAAGTCGTAAGTTATAACTTGTGGAAAGTGTCCGACTTATTTTTTGTAGAATGGCCCATGACACACGAAACATTTTAAATGGACTTGTCCATTTTTCAGTCATAGTTTTTGGGGAAAATATATGTACCAACTGTTTAGGGAACAGTGCAGACCATATTCAGACTTCACGGATGTGCCGGCTGATCTTGGTCTGCACAGGTTGCATGGGTAGACCCCTTGCCGCTAGCAGACTAAAGCTTAAGAATGATTCTTTTCTCAAAAATTATAGCTTTTTTAACCGCAACCCCCTTGAACAGAACAAAAAATCGTTTCAACTCGAATGTACATCGTTACTTATTATTTGTTACTATGCATCCATTTAAACAGAAAAAAATTATTTTGTGTTAAATTTTGATAAGGTCATTCAGGTTATTAATGCCTGTCCGAGTTCTTTTTTTTTTTTTTGAAAACGAAAGCAATATGTCACACGATCTGGACTGGTGCTTTCTCTTAATTATCAAGTACATTAAATTTTATAATCACTGATTTTTAAATATGAAATTCAATGTTTTATACTATATATGTATGTATGAGTTGAAAGCTTTGTTGAAATTAAAAAAAACATGGAATACTTATTATTAGTTGTTTCCTTACAGTCCACTTTCTTGAGAGTCCCAGGGTAGAATATTTGAGCAAGTTTATTGGGAAAAATCGTAGTTTCTTGATATGTGTGGAATGAGAATAAGCAAGGGCATTCTCTTTTCAGAAAACGAGAATGTCCTTGCTAAACAGGGATAGCTAATTTGGCAAAAGCAAAGTTTAACATAATGTTGTCCTTTTTATATCTTTAGTGTGCACCGTGCAGTCAGAGAATTTTTATATTAAATAATATTAAGCAATTACATGTTATAACTTATGTAAGATCTTTGTATATACAAATATCAACATTAATAATATTATGCCGACTCAATCAGACACGGCATAAATGAAACTAAATATTACTTTAATGCAAGCATTTCAAAGAATTGAATTTCTATTGAATGCAATTTCTCATGTAACCGACGGTCATGTTTTCATACATCAAAATTGGGTGCTAAGAATCTTTTCATCCAATTTTCTCACATGGGAGAAAAAAATGTGATATCTGCGATTACGTGATAGAGGATGAATACCAATACGTGATGTTACTTCCGACAATCAGATATTCATTCCTAATCCGTTTCGCATTCTCTTAAGCCCAATCTGCGTAATTTGAATCGACATTATAAAACGGTGTTTTCAATCTTGTAGAAATCAAGATGATCATGATTTTCATTTTGTATAATAAATGAAGGAAAGCAGATCGTCTTAAATTTAGACTCTTGAAATGAACAAACGTAACAAAACAGATATAATGACATGCACAGTCATGACTGAATTATTTTCTTGATTGTTATAAGTTTAAATAGCAAATTGACGTCTGTTTTATAGATCTGAATGCAAAGTCTGTTTAATTTACAAAATATTGTATACATCACAGTTAAATAACTAATATAAAATCTTATACAGAACTTTCAATGCTTAATTTCGAAATGATAAAAATTTTGTAATCGCATGCTTTCTTCCGGATTGTTCTGCGTTTTTTATGTAGTGAAAGGCAAGGAGGGGGCTGGGGGAGATTTTACAAACGATATAATGGCTATTTGTGATTGATGTTTCTATTATAACTTTAGCTGCTATACATTTCTATCAATGAAAGTCTCTCCTAAAAGATGAACAACTATGCTTCAATGTTCCAACGTTGATTAAATTCGGGTGATTTATCATAAAACATATCTATAAAAGAGACAGACTGACTTGGAAACTTGAGAGTTGGTTAGGCCACTTGATTATTGTAGAACATCAATTCATGAAGTTTGATTCAAAGAAAATAACGAAGCCAATCCTTAAATGGAAAAAATGCCAATCTTTCTTTGATAGGTCAATTTCATTCATCAAAATATGAGAAATTGTAAGTAATTTGTTTTTGAATGATGCGTTATCATCCCACGCATTCTTTTTTAGTCCTTTCTTTCTCTTTGTAGGTTAGCACATATAACAATTCATACAATAGTTTCCGTGATGTTGGATAAGAAAATGACAGAAGCAGCTTTAATTGAAATTCTAACACTAACGTGAATTTGTCACTAAAGGCAAAGAAGGGAAGAAACCGGTGTTAAACTGCCAATAAACACTGGTTAGGGACTACTTGTATATGCGGCTGTTATGTTTTCACCCTCGATTATATAGTTTACAAAGCCTTTTAAAGCAACAATAAAAAGCTTTTTTATTTATATTTTCAATTCTTATAATGTTTTCGTTTCATACAATACCGAAATAATATCTCACATACACACATACTCTGACGCCACATATTTGATTCATATCAGATAATAAATATTAAAAAAAAAAAAGAGCGCCAATCCGTTAGCAGCGTAATTACGTCATCCTAATCATAAACATGCTGACGTTATTTCATACATACAAGAATGACAAATAGGTCACTGGTGTAAACACCATGCGACGTAAGTTTTTATGGTCGAAAACTTGATAAAATAGCGTTTTTTTCTTATTATTTCTTTTCTTTAATAATTTCTATATCTTTGAACAGTAGGGTGCAAAAATCGAACAGCGTTATACAAAAATCGGCACCGGAAGTTATCGTGTTAGAATCGAAATTACATCGGCCTGAGAGGTGTATATCAGCTATGTAACACCGGTTTTGTCGTTTTGATGAGAAAAAATAACTACTCAGGTCTACTCAAAAACGGTGTTAAATAGCCGATAAAGACCTCTCAGGTCGATGTTATTTCTTAATAAGAACAGTCTCGTAGTTGTTTTTTAATTACAGAATTATGCAGAATTATTTTTGTATTACATTTGCGATTACGTTAACATAACTTAGTGTAAAGATTTATTGGAATGATTTTGAAATTTTATGTATTATTAACGTACATGTAACATACACCCGAGCACACAAACACGCGCGCGCTCGTGCGCACGCACGTACAAACCATTGTTTTAATATAATTATGAAGATGCATACTAGGATTTTGCTTAGTTCTTTTTATCACGGTGACATATCTTAACGAGTAACTAGCAACACAAATAACCAGGTTTCTAGACATATATGACCCTTGAGTAGGTCTTTAATGTAGTTATATTACCGTACAGACCACTGTTAAATAACCTTTAAGACTTTACTAATCAATACACAAATTATTAGCATTTGCACTTCCAAAATTATCTTAATATACAATTTTTATTGCGAGGCTTTGGTACAAATACTAAATTCTATATGACGAACACAGCTGGTTAACCATAATGTATATTTGACAAGGCGCTGCAGCTGTATTCGAACCAGAAATAATATTCTTCTCAACCATATTAAATGACCTCTTTATTTCACTCCAAAATTTTTATGACACTTTGATACAACTATGTTACTTCAATCACCAGAAGGAGTTGATATGGATTTTGAACTCTCAAAAAAACTGAAACAGTTCTAAGTGGTTAACTATGGACATTTATATAATAAATACTAGTACATGAAATAGTATTTTATCTCTCATAACAATTTATTCTGTGCTATATATAGATTTGTCATATTGAATCATGTAACTCACACTAGTCTTATGACCAACATCCATTATATGATTGTTTCGTGTTTTGCTGTCACGTATGAATCTAACTATTTATGGTGTCACGGACATATTCATAACCTCTTTTAACGAGTTCTCGAATTAATTTTTTTAACGGGTATGGTTAAAGTGACATAATATCTTGTCACTCATTTCGAACACAAAATATCATAGTCACGAACTTCTTCATATGTGGCACATACGGCAATTGGATATATATTGAAAAACGTTGTTGTTGTTTTTTTCATTGCTTACACGAAATGCAAATATAATGGTTATTTCATTATTTGCGATACATAACGTTTGAAAGGATAAATGGACAGATTGCGATTAAAAGGATTCACACCAGACCATGTCATTTTGCCTCCGATTGTTAATATTCGATGGTTTGGCCTGCTCTTGTAAAGCATCAACGCAAACAACACCATTTTTCCGTCGATTGCAAAGTTTCAGAAAACAAATTTTGATTTGGACTGCGATTTGTAATGTAAAAAATCAAAACAACAAAGAAAGAAAAACAGTAACAAGAAGAATCATGTCAACCTCTTTGATTGTTGGTCTTGCATAACTATGTACACTTTAAGGTGCTGAGTAGCTTAGGCTGCTGTTTTGTCATGTGGTAGTCAACGAACCAAAACAGCTGTTGTCTAGACATAGTATACATACCTTTACGACATTCAGTACTGTATAATTATGTTCTCCAAGGCGGTACGGGTGATCACATGACCGGTAAGAAAAATATCCTAAATTTTATCGTGGATTTGTCCGAGCACTTTTTTATTTAGACTGTTAAAAGTTGCGGAAGTTTTAATCTCGCGCCATCATAACGAGGGATATGTCCCAACTTGCATTGAGGATATATCATACGAAGGTACAGGTGTACATGAACCATCCAAACGTTAAACACGAATTTGTAGCAGGATACAATTCTTAATATGTATTAATACCCTTCTTTATCAAAAAGAGATTTGAATTCAATCAGATGTGTTTTCCATTTCTATCTATTTAAATAACATACCGAATACTGGGACTATAATAACACCTTTTTTTTACAGATTGTGACATGTATGAAGCTTCAAATTTTTACT